TTTTATTTATTTTTTCTAAATACTTAAAATCACAAAAAATATTCTCTTAATTTTTCACATTTTATTTTATTATTTTTATTATTTTTTTGGACATAGAAATAGTTTATTAATAATAATATAACTTATTTTCTTAAATAAAATTTGTAAATAATACAAAAATATCATATATTTTTATTTTTATTATTTATACACTTAAATAATATTTTCTCACACATTTTAATTTTTTAACACTTTTGTATATATTTTTTATTTATTTTCTTGTACATAAATAAATAATATAACAATATTTCTTTTAAAACCAATAATTAGGGTTTTCACCCCTTTCCAAAAATAATCATTTTTATTTTCTCATTTTTTAGATATAAATAAATTTATTTTACATACATAAAATAAATACAAAAACATCCTTTGCATATTTATATTTATTTGTACATTTAAGTATTTGTCTATTTATTTATTTGTGCAATATTTCAATTTGGTTGTAATAATAGTTTTTGGGTTTTATTTTGAGCAATATCCCTTATTCAAACTTGTATCCCCCTTCCCATAATCATGTTGTAATAATCTTAGATGTACTTTTACGCATTTTATTGCTTTCAAATGCCATGATAGTAAATTAGGGTTTTGTATGCAAAAACCAAAATCAAACAAATAGCATGACTAAACACAAGACAAAAATGCATGAAAAATGACAACACAATGCACATAAGCATCTCTAGGGTTTCACACACTTGTTGCCTTAAAAATGGCCATGGTATGCATGCTAGGTATCTTGGCAAAATCAAAATCAAAACAAAAAGATCATAGTCCCTCGATGACGCTATCTTGGTTGCCTATACAAAAATGATCTAGGCCCTCAAAAAACTTGCTAAGATACTTGGCAACATTGTTATCATGATCATACGATGACCCACGTCTGTCCCGTTTAACATCCAAAGATAGGGTTGTTTACCAAATGCAATGGTAAAACAACAATATCAAAGGAATAAAAATGTGTAGGAAAGATCTTTGGTTAGGGTAGACAACTCCTAGTTACTTGATCAAACTTGCAAACATCCTTGCTATTTTCAAAAACACACAATACAATTTCAAAACATTTCCCAAAACAAACTTTCAAACATTGAAACATTTTTCAAAAGATAAACACCTTTGTATACATTCAAACAAGAATCATTACAAAGGTTGCCTAAACAAAGGCCCCTTTTCAAAATACTTTCAAAACCACACACAAAAGCACCATTTCAAACAATTGAAAAGCAAAAGCAAGTGATCTAAAACAAGTAACTAAGAGCCCATGGAAAACCATGGATGAAAAGGGTGCTAGCACCTTCCCTTTTCATAATCTACCCCCAGAACCCAAAAATAATCTCAAAGGTCTTTCCTGTGCTTTTTTACCTTTCCTTTTGGATAAAATAAAAGTCGGTGGCGACTCTTGCTAAACCGCAATATTTACGAACACAAACGCAAAACCTCAAGTCAGTTCTCCCACCGAATCACAGAGAGTGTTTGGGATCTTTAGCATTCATGTTCTGGCTTGTGATAAGTTTGTGAATATGTATGGAATGATACAAAGTCCACCTTTTTCCTGTTGTACAAGTTCTGATTTCTTTGGCCAACTTTCTTGCCTTTGAAGAAAAGTGACAAGACTTATGCCAACATGCTTGTACTGGCTAGTTCTTGAGCTGATGAGAGTTGGTAAATCATGCTTGATATCTGTGGACATTTCTTGTAACAAAAGAACAGGTCCAAGGCTCAAGGTTTGTAAAGTTGCAAAAAGCTTACTTTATGAAAATGGCATTGTGAACTTTTAGCCATTTATGGAATTACAACTTGTACAATGCTTCAAAAGTGAAAACAAAGCCTTTATCCATTGATTTTGCATTTAATTATGGCGTGTAGAATTAGTTTAGGACCTGTAATGCAAGGTACAAGCATGCTTGATCAGATTTGCAACTTGACACTTTGTAAAAATGGCTTGATCAAAAGTGACAAAATGTCATTTTCTCTTCTTCGATTATCCCTAACCATAAATGATCTTGGAGAGTTCTTGGACATTTTGAAAGCTTGTAACATTCTCTACAATCCACATCTGAAATTCACTTTGATATAACTCTTGGAACTAGGTGAAAAATGTCCATGAAGTTGGGTCAAAAACCTGCCTAAATTAGGGCAAAATTTCACTAAGTCATTTAGTTCATGGACCCCTATTCACAAATTCATAACTTGAGATCCAAGCATATTTTGGGAAAACTTTGTGAATCAAAGTTGTAGATTTCATGGTGGACTACAACTTTAATGTTGGAAGTTTCCTTTGAACCAATTGCATCATGGTGAAAAAGTTTTGAAAAGTCGGGAAAAAATAAGAAAATCTCCATACTTAGAAAAATTCTAAGTTATGAAAATTTTCAGATTCATAACCCTAATTTGAAATTTTGGGTTTCTTGATCAACAAGTTTTGCATTTTGACATATCTTGATGAATTATGACCCTTGGCACTTGATTTTGACCAAAAAGTCAAAGTTTGACTTTTCAGTGTATAGTTGATTTTTGATCAGTTGACTGGAAAATTCATCTGTCAATCCAATGCACTTGAGATCTTTTGAACCATGTAATTAGGTCAAGATGATGCTATTGAACCCTTGAAATCATGTTTGAACCCAATTGGTCATTGGCTTGGTTAAAAATCAGAAATTGCCCTTTCTCAGTCAAAACCCTAGTTTTGACCATTTTGCCCTTTTGATGATTTGATCAAATTTCTTGAGCAGTTGTGATCCAAACTTTTTCAAATGGTACATATGAGTCTAAAATGTTGTTGTGGATCAAAAATTATGAATTTTGACTGTAAATTGGCCATGGTTGACTTTTTCCCCAATACAGTTGATTTTTAGGTCAACTATCCAATTGACTGATCAAAAATGTGGTTCAAGGCTTGAAACTTGTTGTGAGCAATCGTAGGGGTCCAACATGATGTATGAAAGTCACATGAAGCATTGATAGTCCAAAAATCCTTGTGCAAACTCAAACCCTAATTTTAGGGTTATCAGTGCAAGGTGATGTCTTGAGTTGACCAAACCCTAATTATGTCTTGAGTCCAAGAAGTCTTGTGAGAAAAATCATGATAAATGAGAGGGCAAATTTTGGAGTACAACAATATGTAATTAAGACCATTCTCTAATCTTAATATTTATGCATATCTTCAATAATTCATCACACTTGAATTATCACACATTTGCACATACATATATATCTTCATGAATTATCCACATACAATTCATATTCATAACACAACCATTCCAAACCAACATAATAACACATAGGAAACAATATACAAAGTATCATTACATTCCAACATTAACCACAATCACACAACACACAAATACAAGTCATTTTACACAACCACACGATAATTAAATCACCTATTGCTAGCAAGACCATTTTCATTAAAAAGAATATCGCGCTAGCTTTCTAACGCTTCGAACGGGGATTCAAACGGATTTACGGTTCAAAAGTTATGAATTTTTGAAATTTTAAAAAAAATCTGTCAACTTCAGGAAATCATTTTCTCCAATATTGAAAACCGGTTTTCACACTGTGAGAGTGAAAATTTTGTTGTTTTAAGTACGAAAACCAGTATTTTCAACCCAAAAATCCAACATTTGAAATCAACATCATATTCTTCAATTCAATACTCACACATACGTATTACACAATATTTTTTATTAATTCTATAATATCAATTTCACCAATTTAAATGCATTTGTACCAACAATTCATCATTCAAACCTAACAATTTCAAAACCTATAAAATTTAAGATTTTCATCCTAAACATATAACTAATTATTAAAGTTGGAGTGTTACAATTATAAAAAGAGGAAAGCGAAATCCAAGAAATCACTATAAGTGTGCGGAAGAATGTTCGAAGAAGGAAGACTAAGCCTTCGTAACCAAGAAAGTTTGAAAGCTAGTATTATATAGCAGTATGCATGCAATGACGACACTCATATATTTTAGTTTTCTTATTAAAAATTATATTTTGTTCTACATTTGAAAAAGAACTTGCTCATGAACAATCACATGAAAAATGATACAATGTTATGAAAACAAGTTGTTGGGATGGTTTGCAGTAGTATATATTTGAAACATTATAGTCTCACATCAAAATTTTATGTACAAATGAAAATATTTATAAATAACTATTATAAATCTTAATTGATTTAAAATAATTATAAATAAAAATTATTAATTTAAGAAAACGTAAAATAAATTAATATAATATTAAAAAACATAAAAAAATATAATATATAAAAAAAATAAGAAAAGATTAAATATAAAATAAAAGAATTACACGTGGCGTTTAAAAATAAACTATCAATTTATTAAAATTAAATATGTATAAACACTCTATAATGTTCTTTTATAAATTTAAAAACACGTAATATAAAAGGATAAAACAGTAATCAACTAAATATATATTTTAAATCCACGTGATATTAAATTTTTTTTTTAATTTAATAAAAATTCATTTATATGACCATTCATTTTAAATCTTGATTTTGAAAGATTTCTTTTTAATTTGATAAAAATTTATTTATGTGATTATTCGTTTTAAATCTTGATTTAGTAAAATTTTAAAAAATCTTATGATAATTCAAAATAATTTATCATGTAAGAATCTTTTAACCTCTTGAAAAGACATCACTACCCATCCTTACTTAATTTACGACTATTAAATTTGTTTGGTTTTTTGGTCTTTCTAGAACGAATTGTCCAATTATAGTATTAAAGAATTCGATCCTTTTTGTTATATCTCTCTTTCACATGAATCCAAATCATTTTTACTCTCTTTTTCTCTTTCTTCCTTTTGACGACCTTTCTTTCTCTGCAGTCTCATCTTTCCTTACCTAACCCTAAACCTTCTTGTTTCTTCTCCTTCTACACGCCTTATGCTTCCTTCTTCCTTCTCCATCTTCTTCCTCTTCCGTTCTTCCTCTTCTTCACAATGAAAAATGAAAAGATGTGGAATCTGAATTTACCAGCGACGGGATGTGATAAGGTGGCGGTGGAATCTGAATCTTATGGTGGCGTGAGCGACGACTTGAAAAGGACACGCGGATGCGGTGTTAAGAAATTTGCGCGACAACTTTGGAGCACGGTGGATTCGAAGATCATTCTTTGTTCGTCTCTCTTAAGTTTTTGATAAAAAGAACTATTTTCCAATGTCTGATTATGTTCTTGTTTTTTCAATTTCGCAGATTTCCGACATCGAACCCACTAATGCGGCTGGAAAACATTGGAGGTATTGGTCAAAGGTTGTACCATGGAAGAGGTATCGTCGAAACGGAACATGAAAGTTTCATCATCAAGATTGAAGTGTTTTTTTTGTGGTATCTTCATACGAGTTTTTGAACGTTTGTATCTTTATCTTGATCTTTATAGTGAAAGTGTTGGATTCAGGTGATTATGGGGTCGCCACTGCTGTTGAAACTTGCTGTTGAAACTTTCACAATTGCATTGAATAAAAAGTAGCAGGGTAAGCTCATATTTGGTACTTTTCACATTGGATGGTGATGCTGTTGATGTTAAAACATATGCGAGCCTTTACCAATGTAAGCTCCGTTTCGGTACATTTCAAAGTCATTACATGCTATTGAGTTTTTAATTTTTTGGTAAAGTTGTTTCCTTTTTAAAATGCAATTTGTCGAACATAACTCATGTTAGGAAATAAAATAAATAAAAATTTTGAAGATGAAAAAGATTATTGCTGTAAAAAATTATTGGGTTTGGTTTCTCGAGTTCGATTGCGGGGCAATAATGTGGCTGAGGTTGCTGTTACGGAATATCCGAAGGAGTTTAATTTGAGGACCGCAATAAAGTTGAAATGCCGGTTTCTTAAGGTTTGAATTGAATATTTCGTTGTTCGTTTGAGGACCGTGATATTATTTTGTTGCACGTAATTATTATTGCCATAATATTTTATAAACTCTTTTATTGATGCATGTGTACTGTTCGATGAGATGCCACTGAGGAATAATGTCACGTGGACGGGCTGCTTCAGGTCATTTAGAATCAAAAGTATCATTTTGAATGTTGTAAATATTTTACATTTATGAACTTATTTTAGTCATTGCTTTACTGTAGTCTTATTGGCAGTTTCGTCTTATTTTTGTCGCGGTGAATGAGCGATTTGTTTATGCCTACTGCTCTTTCTGTAGGCTGGTGACATGTTCAATTTGGTGTTGTCAACAAAGTCTCTGACTTGATATCGCATGAATCACAATGTCGTCACTGCCACCGAAAAATAAGTTACTTTTATATGTTTTATTGGTTGATCGTAAGTGAATATTGAATATTTATGAGTTTTGTGTCCAGGTTATTTCGGAGAACTTTCTGAGCATGGACGGCATTAGGGGCAACAGAGTTCATCAGAAATGGAATCATGGTACTCACATGTTGACAACTCTATTTTTTTTGTGATATCTTCTTGTGTTAATTGCTAGACAGGTTTTGTACATGGACTGTGTTAAAAGAAAGGCTTTACAATGAAGAAATGGAAGATATCTTGATGAAGTTGAACCGATGGGACCTGACACAGAGTTGATGAGATGGGAATGTTTGAGTTACTACATGTACTAAAGTTATATTCCCTCATGTGTCAATGCTTTTGCCATGACTGGTTTGAATTGTTCACACTGCTTTGGATTTTTGAAACCTTAACAACTTGAATGTTACTTGAAATCTCTCTGTACCAAAACGAAATTTGTAACTTCAAACTTGAATGCCATTTGGAATTTGGTCTTTGTAGCCAATATGAATGCAACTTTGTAGTAGTTCCTGAAGATTGCAATTGTATAAATGTCTTCTGCCAGAGCAGTTGCAATGCTGCCCATATTCGAAGATTGGTCGGGAAACCGGGTGCAAGTATTGCCTTGGAACAGGTATGTTTCGAATCTTCACAGATTGTCACTCTCTTGATGTTATCTACATAGATTATCACTCTCCATGTGTTCTTCGTAGATTGTCACTCTCTTAAACTTATCTATTGCTTTTCCATGAACTAATTTTACATTTACTCTTCTTGCACATGTCATTGGCGTTGATTTTCTTATAAGTCTTCTGGTCTCTCATATTACTCCTTGCTATTGTAACTTACACATACCTGTAAGTTTGACATGATATTTGATTATCATATAGTTTTTCATAAGCTTTTTTTCTTGCAACTTTCTGCACTTTTTTAGTTTATGTTCCATTTTTATACATGCACATCATTGCACTTATACGGTCTGATATAACTCGTCCAATTTTTCTCTTACTAACTAAAATTATTTACTTGTTGTTTTATTATAGTGTACTGGGATGACACATTGAGAATAACTGGCCTTATAATCATGTCTGCTGGAAACCTGGAATCGTCAACTAAAGATTAAAACTACAGATTTAGAAAAGAAAAAATATTACCTAATGGCCAATAAACTACTGTAGTGCAGTCCACATACACATAAAAAAGATATACAAAGATGGATAGATATATGACATCCATAAATAAAATAAAGATTGAGCTCATTCATACATAAAAAATAATGAATTGCATGCATGTGCAAAGGTAATGCATGGCCTCATCAAGACTAGATCCATGCATTCAACCTCCTAATGAAGCTTATTAGAAACATGGAACAAGATGGTAAGATATTATACCTCTAGTATTTGTCCAAAACAAACAAAATAATAGGAGAAACACAATAATTTTAACTGGGGGTTTGGCATAGACGGCATGTTAGTCCACTTTATTATTTATATAATATAGTTAGAAAATTTTATTATTTTGAGACTTCAAATAACTATCCATTCCAACAACCTCCATCAGGGGTAATAACCCTCCCATCACAGGAGTGTCATTGAGAATATAAAGTCACTCTTATCTCATTTATAAATATTTTCTTATATTGGAACCAGCTATTTATACGAATTTAATTTATTCAAGTATGTTGATTAATTTATTACCAATTGGTTGGATTTGCTATGTATGATTCTCAAGTATAAATTGGTGCCACTCCATAGTTCATGGAAATATTTTCTTATATTGGAACCAGCTATTTATACGAATTTAATTTATTCAAGTATGTTGATTAATTTATTACCAATTGGTTGGATTTGCTATGTATGATTCTCAAGTACAAATTGGTGCCACTCCATAGTACATGGCTAATTTTTACATGGTAAGTGGTTTTCTATTTAATGAAACTGGTTTTTGAAATCTCATGTTTTAGCCGCATCTTTTTAATCACATTTCTACTCTCACTGCATGTCCACATCAGAATTCGTACGAATGCACGAATTTCCCATTAGTAATAGAATATGAGTACTAATTAAACAATTAATATATATATTTAAAAAAAATATAATATAATTTTATTTAAATAAAAAATAACAAAATTTGCTTAGAATTCAAAAAATATTATATTTTATAATTGTTATTAATAAATATTAAACTTTATTTTTAAAGAAAGAATATATATTTTTCTAAACTTTAAGCAAATTTTACTATTTTTTAATTAATTAAAAACATAAGTAAATTTTATATTTTGAAAAAATTCATACGAGTGTATTTTAATTTTAAATTTTGATTTTAAAAGATTTTTTTATTTGGTTAAATTTTAAAAGTTATTACGTCTATTCAAAATATTAATAGAATATAATTATAGATTAAATTGAATATATATATATATATATATATATATATATATATATATATATATATATATATATATATATATATATATATATATATATATATATATATATATATATATATATATATATATATAGTAGAGTAGAGTAGAGTAGAGTAGAGTAGAGTAGAGTAGAGTAGAGTAGAGTAGAGTAGAGTAGAGTAGGGTAGGGTAGGGTAGGGTAGGGTAGGGTAGGGTAGGGTAGGGTAGGGTAGAGTAGGGTAGTAGGGAGGGGTAGGGGTAGGGTAGGGTAGGGTAGGGGTAGGGTAGGGTAGGGTAGGATAGGGTAGGGTAGGGTAGGGTAGGGTAGGGTAGGGTAGGGTAGAGTAGAGTAGGGTAGGGTAAGGTAGGGTAGGGTAGGGTAGGGGTGGGGTGGAGTAGGGTAGGGTAGGGTAGGGTAGGGTAGAGTAGGGTACGATAGGGTTTTGTAGGGTAGAGTATAATAGAGTAGAGTAGGATAGTGTAGGGTAGAGTAGAGTATAGTAGAGTAGAGTGGAGTAGGGAAGGGTATGGTAGGGAAAGGGTAGGTAGAGTAGAGTAGGGTAGGGTAGCGTAGAGTAGAGTAGAGTATGGTAGAGTAGAGTAGGGTAGGGTAGGGTAAAGTAGAGTAGGGTATGGTAGCATAGAGTAGAGTAGAGTATGGTACAGTAGAGTAGGGTAGAGTAGAGTAGGGTATGGTAGGATAGGGTAGGGTAGAGTAGAGTAGGGTATGGTAGGATAGGGTAGAGTAGAGTAGGGTAGGGTTAGGTAGGGTATGGTAGGGTAGAGTAGGGTAGGGTAGAGTAGAGTGGAGTATGATATGGTAGAGTAGAGTAGAGTATGGTAGAGTAGAGTAGAGTATGGTACGGTAGAGTAGAGTATGGTACGGTAGAGTATGGTAGAGTAGAGTAGAGTAGAGTAGGATATGGTAGGGTAGAGTAAAGTAGGGTAGGGTAGGGTAGGGTAGGGTAGAGTAGAGTATAGTAGGGTAGGGTAGGGTAGGGTAGAGTCGGCTAGAGTAAAGTATGGTAGGGTAGGTTAGGGTAGGGTAGGGTAGGGTGGGTAGGGTAGGGTAGGGGTATGGTAGGTATGGGTAAGGGTAGGGGTAGAGTAGGGTAGGGTAGGGTAGAGTAGGATAGAATAGAGTATGGTAGGGTAAGGTAGAGTAGTGTAGAGTAGGGTAGAGTAGAGTAGAGTAGGGTAGAGTAGGGTAGGGTAAGGTAGGGTAGTAAAGTATGGTAAGGTAGGGTAGTAAGGTATGGTAGGGTAGAGTAGAGTAGATTAGAGTAGAGTAGAGTATAGTAGGGTAGGGTAGGGTAGGGTAGGGTAAGGTAGGGTAGAGTAAAGTAGAGTAGAGTAGAGTAGAGTAGAGTAGGGTAGGGTAGGGTAGAGTAGGGTAGGGTAGGGTAGGGTAGAGTAGAGTATAGTAGAGTACAATAGATTAGGGTAGGGTAGGGTAGAGTAGAGTAGAGTAGGGTAACATAGAGTAGGGAAGAGTATGGTAACGTAAAGTAGAGTAGAGTAGAGTAGAGTAGGGTAGGGTTGGGTATGGTAGAGTAAGGTAGGGTAGGGTAGGGTATTGTAGAGTAGAGTAGAGTAAGGTAGAGTAGAGTAGAGTTGAGTTGAGTTGAGTAGAGTAGAAT